AAAAAATTAATTTTTTAACCCAAAATTTTTTCTATAAATACCCCTCATCCCCCACACATTTTTCTCTCTCAATTTTTCTCAATCTCTCTCAATTTTTGTATAATTTTAACACAAAATAACTTAATAATCATTTATATACAAATACAATTACTAAATAATAGTATATTATTTATAATATATATACAATATTATAAAAATTAAAAAAATATAATAAAAAAATATTTTTTTTGGGCCACTCGGGCTGCCCGGCTGGGCTAGAGCAGCCAAAACCAGGCCCGCGGCCCGTCCATGGGCCTTCTCGGGCTCGGGCAGGCGTCCCGAAAAAAATCGGGCGGGCGGGTTCTAGCATCGGGCTCAAAATCAAATTTTTTGGACGATCGCGGTGGGCCCGTCCAAAGTTCCAGCACTACTACCTACTTCCTTCCTTCCACTTTTCTATCATACCAAACACACTCTAAAACTAAAACCCCGTTCATTTCGCTGATTCGAGTTTTGCTACAGTAAAAAGTTATCACAAACAGTCACATCTAACTTTTTTATTACAGTAAAAAGCTCATATAAAGTCACATCTTAACTTAAATTAAAAATTCAAATCAGCGAACTAAACAGACAATAAAAGATACACCTGCTATCAGGGAAATTTTGTGGATTATGGTCCTTGAGATAAAATTCCTTTGCGCGTTGCAAAAATGTGACAGATGTGAACTGATCGATTAGCAAAGTGGTACTTTTATTTACACACAAAGGAAACAAGAACAGGCTAATTAGCAAGTTTGAATATGGATAAATATTGTACCTCATTCCCCCCTTCTAGGAGAGCGCCAACTTCTTGAGAAGTGAACTTAGCCACTGAAATTGATTTCACTCTGTGTAATTCACGGCTTGGATTTTTGGTTGTGAAGTCAAAAAAGAAAAAGGAAAAGATAAATAAACAATTCTTACCTAAGAAACTTAATACTCTTTAGTTATAATTAGGAGTGACCTAAAAATAAAAGTTGAAGTAAACAAATAAAATAATGAAAAACGGAAGATGAGAGAAATATAAGCATTAGAGCGCGCAATGCTTGTTAGGAGACTCTGGTGGTAATCAGCGCGACAAATAAATAGAAAGCGGGTCTCAGAATATAAAACTCGTAGATAGGACTCACTTTCTATTAGTTGTGGTGCTCAATATAAGTTATTCTCACAAGCATTTTTCTAAGCATAAAGAATTTCACTACAGGTTGTGCAGACAAATGTCCAAAAATTTGTGCAAACATATCTTGGTCCCTGCTTCAATAGACACATAAAATGAGAATACATTTTCAATGTGGCATGTGAATTTTAAGGAGATTATACGTTAGTTAGATATATAACTCTATCATCATGACAATTACCTGGTGAACTATTCTTCATCCAATCACATAAGGACCAAGATGATAGAAAAACCATGTTGTAAATCACGTCACAAGTACAACACCTTATGAAAGCTTTTGTTTTCTACCTTTTGAAGGCAAAACCAACATGAAGCATAACTCCATGAGAAGCAAGAATATAACTTTTTGGATAATTATTTTCTTCAACTTTAGAAGAAAAAGAGCTTACTAGAGAATTGCAATTGATGCAATGACGATTCCCCGGAAGCTTCAGAAGCGCGCAAATGATCATCTGGTTCTTCTCATCCTCCTTAAGCCGTCTGGCCATTGCCGCCAGAACAACTATATGATATTCCTTCGCAAAATCAGAAAGTAGTATTAAACAGTAGTATTGTATTTGTGGCGATCATCAACTATAGAGGAAATATTATCTGATCATGCTTGCGAGATGGCCAATCTTATGTGCTTGGCATGAACTGTGAGAACAACTCAAAAGTGGAACTAGATTATTAGGACATGGAAATTCCGGGAACGCCCTTGAGAAGTTATGGGAGTTGCCTCTGTTGATGGTGATAGAGTGTGTGACGTGATGGCTTTTATTGGTTGAACAACGAAGAAGATATCTTTTTATTATTATTATTATTATTATTATTATTATTATTTTTCAGCTACAAGAATTCCTTTGGTAGTTGGTGTTCAAAATATGATGAACATGGGTTGTACTTGTGACATTAGTAGCACCTTGAAAATGTTTAAATATTTTGTAGGGAGAAAAAAGAAAATAGATCAAGACTTGAGATGAATTAAAATTAATAGGTCAATAGTTTACATAAGTTAATAAATAGGCTAAATTACTGTTTTTGTCCATAACTTGTTTAGTTATGAACCATAACTTGACAAGTTATTGTTCATAATTCACGGTTTTTATCCATAACTTGTCTAGCTATGAACCATAACTTGATAATTTTGTCCATAATTTATCTGGTTATGAACCATAACTTGATAAGTTATGGCCTATTAATTTTTATAACTAAAAATTGGCTTATATACTTTCTTAAGCTTTTCATATTGGCCTATTTTCTACTATTTTTGAATTTTTTTTGTACTTGTTGTTAGCCTAGCGGTAAGCCCAACTCCACCTGAAAATGTAGAACTCGTTTGATAATGTTTTTAAAATAATTTTATTTTTAATATAAAAGTAAAAATAAAATTATTTTGAACCGATTTTGAAATTGCGTTTGGTTGATTTTTTAAAAAATTATTTTGAATATAATAAAAAAGTGAAATCGTGTTTGGTTATAATTATTAATGAATATATTATAACATTTTTTTATAAGTATTATAAAATGAAAACAGAAAAGAAAAAATAACTTTTAATCGTTTTTTCATTCACAAAAATTACTCACTATTTTTTTTTTTAAATATTTACTAAATAAACACAATTTATAAATCGTTTTTATTTTCGTGTCTCAAAAAACGTACAAAACGTTTTTAAAAATAAATAAAAATTAATTCTAATAGAGTTCAAATCTCTCCCGTAAAAAAAAAAAAAATAATAAATTAAAAGTTGTCAGAGAAAAGGCAGGTGGAAAGGGCAAAAAAGAAAAGAAAAGGAAGTGGAAATGGGTGGAGTTGGATGTGCCACATGTGGTTGGGGGTTAGCTGATTGTGAAAACTAATGGCATGCCATATCTGAGTAGTAGTACCACAACTGAGTTTTCTTTTCGGTGTCGTGGCTAGCGAAGTATATAGAAACACTTTCAAATATATATGTAGGAAGACTAACCATTAGTTTTCACTTTTGATTTTAGGCATGATTAACTCTGTATATGGAGATGTTTGGTCAATAATGGTGATGTGCCAAGGTTTCCCGGTTAAACATGATCAAGGAAAACACAAACAGTCAACACCATTACAAGAAAACCAATGTTTACCAATAATAAAACAAAATCGCATTATTTATAACATCAAACTTGAACATGTGATTTGAGTCCAACAAGTTTGGAAGGTTGTACTAGATATTGCATTAATAGTACTAATATTCTCAGATAAAGCATAGATACTTTTTGCTAATCAAATAAAGCATAGATACTTGAGAATCCGCTGTAGATTTTCCAAGTTAACAACTTGATCTAGCCCACAGCCACCCGCCTCTCCCTGAGATGTGGCTCTCGTCCATCACAAATTTTCACTACGAGATCTCATCCATAATAATTCTCTCTGATGTGATGTGGGTCTCTCGCGTTATTAAAGGACTAACAATTCAGGTAGCAACACGACACATTTTAAAATCTGCACGAAGTTAGCGGATTTGGGTTTATTATATATATGTTTGTATCAAAATCAGGTCGAATCCGTAAAACACGATTAAATAACGTGTCATTTTTAGGTTGACCCGCCAACCCACAATTGACCCGTCGTAACCCGTTTATTAAACATGTCATATTTGGGTACTATGAATACACAACACAATTATAACTTGTTTACCTATGTTTGCTGGCCAGGTTGAGAAACAGGTTGATAAATAGGTTGACACTCATTTTATAAACATGTTAATAATAGGGTTATAGAAACATGTTGACACGACACTATTGTAGCCTGTTTAATAAACAGGTTAGTCATGTCGTGTCGTGTCAACCCGTCAATATACAGGTCGTGTTTGAATTTTGTATTTTAACACGAATAATAAACGGGTCGTATTCGTGTAAGGTCTTATCGTGTCAACTGAGGGAGTCAACACGACACGGCAATCTGGATTGCCAACCCTAACTAAAAACTACTACAAGATCTCACCCGCGGTCGCGTTCCTCCGTGAGACCAATCCACAAGGACATGATCTTGTTATGTTCTAAGAATCACTTTTTTTCCTCCCTTTTATTTAAAAAAAAAAAAAAAAAACCATTTCAGATCTCACATAATTTTATATGTTAGTTTCTAATAACTTAAAAAAGTCAAATAAGTGATTTGTTTTACATGTTTAGCATTTTTTTTTTTTGTCTCTACACATAACAAGTTCTTTTTTTTGTTAGAACTTGTAACAAGTTTGTTTAGATATTGTGAGTAATTTTTATGTAAATTTTCTAAGTTTGCTATACTATTTTTAAGACATTTTTTAGTACGTTAATATATCAGTAGGTCAGGTTTTATGTTTATTAAATTTGTATAAAATCACATAAAAATTAAAAAATATGCATATTTAAAGATTAAAAAATCTGACATACCGGTACACCATTGACCATACCATAAAATGTTTTTTTTTTTGAAAAAAAAAGGAAAAAGAATGGTTTTTTATAGTTGTTGGGTCCCACTCCCAGTTCAAAAACTGCTGACGGGTGATGGGATTTGGATCGTTTCTGTATGCCGACTTGGCGGACACTTGATTGGTTTGTTATTGGTAGATTAGATTCAGATTCACTCAATCCTAGCCCGCCCCCCATGTGACCATGCCAAGAGCGTAGGGATCGCACGTGCCAAAATCTTAGCTAAACTCAGCCTTGCAATCTCTCACGTGTCAGAAGCCCTGACCAATCCCAATCTCCGAACCCACACCCTAAATTTCCCATAATGCCCCTTTCAAACTAGATAAGTCCTCACAACTTCCTTAATAAATAAATTAATAAATAAACAATAAATCTGTGAAGAAATTGCAATTCCATGTCTTTCTATTTCAAGTGATGACGACGCACCCAAAAGCCCCAAATATCTCTCCCTCTCAAAATCTAGGGTTTCACGAGGAGTATCCCTAGATCCCTGTCCAGAACAAAAGGTCCCAAATTTCATGAAATTTGGGTCTTTAGGGTTTCGATTTTCGGGGAATTCTCTCCTCTCGGCGTTTGATTCCCGCTAATATTTTTTCTGCCTTTTACGGGCTTTTCTTGCTTGGGTTCTCGGTACCGATTTCTAACTGGTTGAATCAGAGTTCGGGTTTGCGATAAGGCTTTGAGTTTTCTTAGAGATTTGGACTGATTGAGTTCTGAGTAATTAGGTTTCCATTTGGCGAAAGCTTTTTCTTCTTGTTTTTCCTTTTAATTGGGCGAAATTTGTTTACTTTTTTGCTCTTCGAATTGGGACATTGGAGATTTAGGGTTTTTGTGTCGTTTGGAGGAGATGGCGATGGTCGGTGCGGAAGATGTGGATTACGAGAGTGATCCAGAGGAGGCGAAGCGATCGCTGGCGATGCGGAGGCGGGAAGCGAGCGACGATGAGGAAGAAGGAGGGGTGGGTGAGAAGCGGAGGGTGGATCGAAGGGGCGGGATTCATTCGGATGATGAATCGGACGGTCAGGGCGGGGCGGCGGAGTACGACGAGGACGAAGAAGAATTGGTCTTGGACGACGAAGAAGAAGAGGAGGAAGAGATTGATGATGAAGAAGGGGAGGAAGAAGAGGAGGTCTATGAGGAGAGTGGTCGTGGACGGGAGGGTGGTGGTGAGAATTTGGCGGTTGCGGTTCCGAAGGAGGTGTCGTGTAATGGCAGGGCGCCTGTGGATGGTTCGGTGGAGGCGCATGGTGAGAGTCAGGCCGAGGGGGAAGAGGAGAAGAAGGAGCATGAGCCCTTTGCAGTGCCCACTGCTGGAGCTTTTTACATGCATGATGACAGGTTCAGGGACAATGCTGGTGGTCGCCACAGGTATGATTTTCTCTTTGGATAAGTATGTAGGACTGAATTCTTGTAAGCTGCTATGACTTCAATGGGTTTGTGCAAATATACTTTTGTAATTGGGTTGTTTCTTTGGTTACCTTTGTATACCCTTTATATAGTTTCGGTATCTGGGTTACCATCACTATTCTGGTTCAAGGGCTTATGGTGTTCATTTCCCTTTACTTCTATGTTTCTTTCATAGTTCTTTCTAGTAAATAAGGCTTTTTTTTTTTTTGGGAAGTAACAAGTACACTTCTTGAATGGTTAATAAAAATGCAACATTATTTTTGAATAGGCGGACACACGGTGGAAGGAGGCTGTGGGAGTCCAAAGATGACAGGAAGTGGGGACATGACAAATTTGAAGAGATAACTTTGCAGGAAAGGCATTATCAGGAGGTACTGGCGTTTCATATGTGCAACCCTCATAGTATACTGGTTTAAATGCATGCATTTTTCTTTATAGTACGTTCCTTCGCCTTGAGGCTCTCAAATCTGCTTTGTTGTTAACATCTTCTGAAATTTTAGGGAAGGAGATCTTCTAAGGGCCATTATCGAGGTCGTGGTAGAGGCCGTGGTGTTGACCGTGGATATGGTAGAGGCAACAGGTCTAAAACATATAACAACAGTACTAATCAGAGCCAGGTATCCAAGGGCGTGAGGGGGAAAGGGGTCAGGAAGTACGAACCCATGACAAAGAACAGCGCCTTGGCACCTTCAACACTAAACAAACAGTAAGTACAACTTTTCCCAACAGCAATGTATCAATTATTTACTGTTACTTATTTGAAGAAAAATTGTTTATTTTCCTTTGCTAAATTCATCTTGATATTCTTATATATTTATAATCTGTGTTGATTTATGTAGATCCAGGAAGCCCACCGAGAAACCGTCTAATACTAACTCAGCAAGAGCTTTCGCACCCGCATCTAATGCAGAGTTTGACCAGGTTCCTGCTAGGAAAAATGTGTTTGCATCAAGCTTAAATTCGGCATCTCCACCTTTTTACCCATCAGGCTCTTCCAATAAGGATATCTCCCTTACACATAAAAGGGATGCTCAAGCAGGAAGTACTAACAGAAATCTTCGCCCATCTGCTGTGGACAATACATTACTGCGAGGAAAGAATATAGCTGAATCTGTTCGCATGGACAAGCTAAACATCAATGATTCCATCAGTTCATCTGCTGGGAAAACCTCGAGTAACATACAAATGCCACCGTCTGGAACATTGTTGGTAAATACAGCTCAGCCTTCTCAGTCTAGGACTCATGGGAGGGCTGTTATTCCAGGACAGATGACTTACCAAGCAGCTCCACTTCATAATCACGCCATAAGAGGTTCTTTATCCGCACAGCCACATGCTGTTCAGCGAAGTCCAGTTCAAGGCCGAGGGCAAACTGTTGTGCAGACTCCTGCTCAGCAGTTGGGACAGCGCCCTGGTAGTGGATCTCAAGCTTCTTCTCCGCCAAATACAGCTCTGTCAATAAGTTCATTGGAACCTGGAGAAGGGGATTCGTCTTCAGAGGCAAATAAATCTAAAACAGCGTTGATTGCAAAGGGGAAAGGTGTTGCTCAGGGTAGTGGAAGGGGCTCTGTTTTGTATGGTGGAGCTCAGGTTATTGCAACCACTGGTAGTATGGGTGTTAGTCATGGAGATCAGAATTTCCCTGGTAGTCCAGCATTTCTTCCATGTAATGTTTCTAGGGCCCTTTATTTTTCTTTAGATTCTTTGGAATTATGCACTCGTGGGGCTTCCTCTTGAGATGCTAGTTTGCTATAAAACATAGCGCACATGCTCATACAAGCATGCACGCGCACATATATTTCGCAATTTGAATAGCATTATCTAGATTTGAGATATTGAAAACAATTATGTTTTACTGAGCTTAACTGTTTGTACTTTGTATGCATATTATGTGATATACGAGTTCTTATTGTCCAAATTTTTTATGAGTTGTATTTGGTTGCTTGTTGGGCAGTCATGCAATTTGGAGGTCAGCATCCTGGTGGTATGGGGGTTCCTGCTGTTGGGATGGCATTTCCTGGATATGTTGCTCAGCCACAAGGTCTTGGTCTGGGAAATTCTGAGATGACATGGTATAGGCATTTTACGATACATGCAATTTCTTAGCTGCATTTCTTGTTTATTTATATTATATGCTTTTGGATTTCATGTCTGGGCTAGTTCAATAAGTGGTTAAGTGGTACTTGTCATGGAGAGGCAGTTGTACATATTTCAGACTTTTGACCTTATATTTACTAGCGTATCAATTCTATTCTGTTTCCCTGCTGAGCTGAGATTTGCCTATCCAGTAGGAAATATTTTAGCGTCTAATCTCGTTAAGTAGAATAGTTTTTTAAGTTATAAAAATTAATGCATTGGAGTTGCATGTATTAGAGTTTTTCTCATTCCTTATGACATAAAGAGTTAAATTGTTTTTGTTTTTCTCAGGCTCCCAGTGCTAGCGGGTGCTGCAGGAGCATATTGTTCACCCTATATTGCTGTTGACGGTGCTTACCATGCTCGCCCATCAGGACAGTCGTCTTCTGGGGGTGCCTCAAGGTTGGTAGCATGGTGTCACTAGTTCTATTATATATGTTATCCGGATGATCTTTTTCGCCTGTTGTCGAATCCAAGCTTATTTCATGTTGGTCTTTTTTTTTTTTTTTTTTTTTTTTTTAATTTTTTTTTTT